GAATATGATCATTTTACCATGGTTATTAAAGTTTTAAATGAGGATATTTATACGTGTTACAACACCAAAAAGTGGCTCATGTGAATATGATCATTTTACCATGGTTATTAAAGTTTTAAATGAGGATATTTATACGTGTTACAACACCAAAAAGTGGCTCATGTGAATATGATCATTTTACCATGGTTATTAAAGTTTTAAATGAGGATATTTAAACGTGTTACAACACCAAAAAGTGGCTCATGTGAATATGATCATTTTACCATGGTTATTAAAATTTTAAATGAGGATATTTAAACGTGTTACAACACCAAAAAGTGGCTCATGCTTCTTATAAGAACAAAGATCTCATGCCAAGAGACATCAAAATATAAATAGCTTGACTAGTTTTCTAAATAGACCTTAAACAGAAACAGAAATCTCCAGTCAATGTTACTTCTAACAGAAACAGTGCTCTTCTCATACTACAGAATTAATATACACAGCTAATGTAGGTTTTGCTCTAGAGCTGGGGATTACATCAATTGGTGTCACAAAAATAATCAATTAATCAAAATTACTGTTCTCAATTTTTCACAACAGTCAAGTAACTGAAGTTACAAATAAATTGATTGTCATGAAAAAAAAGAACTAATCAGAATTAGTTGTTTTGATTATTCCAGCCGTTGATTAACTGAAATCATGGATTGTCAACAAAATAATCAATCAACTAAATGAAACTAGGGTTTCTGATTGTTAAATATTTTCTTGATTATTTCAATTATCCAGGTAATTAAAATATCACCATTATGTTTTCTTTTAAGTATAAAGTTGCATAATGGTGTGGGGGGTGGCTCATGATCTGTGGGTCTTGGGTTTGATTCCCATTGCCACTAAACTTTCTTGCACTCTCTTTGTTATTGTAAAGCTACAAAGGCAACTGGCTGGTAACACAAACTGTCAGCTGTCAGAAGAAAACAAACTGGCTGGCAGCACACAGTCAGCTGTCAGAGGGAAAACAATTGGCTGGTAATACAAACTGTCAGCTGTCAGAAGAAAAACAAACTGGCTGGCAGCACACAGTCAGCTGTCAGAGGGAAAACAATTGGCTGGTAATACAAACTGTCAGCTGTCAGAAGAAAAACAAACTGGTTGGCAGCACACAGTCAGCTGTCAGAGGGAAAACAATTGGCTGGCAGCACACAGTCACTTGTCAGAGGGAAATCAACTGGCTAGTAACACACATTGTCAGCTGTCAGAGGGAAAACAACAGGCTGGCAGAACACAGTCAGCTGTCAGAGTAACACTGATGTAACTTATGACTCCTTGTTTTGTATACTGTTATAATTTTACCTAGAGCTCAGTTAGTTTTTATTTATTTGTTAGTAAGTTATTTCTGTACATTTTTTATACTAATAATAGTCAAATATCATGAAACTTACAATCTGTACTGACATACGTTTGAGGTTTATTTTGACAGAGCATCAGCAATGAGAAGCCATTGAGTTTTATTATAAACAGATGCATGTTTTCTTTCATCAGCAGAAGGAACGAATGGCCCCGAGTCTCTGTTTGAGGTTGAGATAAGGAAAGATGACGAGACTGCAGCAGTAGGAACCCAATCTTTTGTTATAACCAAAGAGGGTAACAGTGTACTGCTCCAGTTTCCCAACACACGAGGTGAGTGTTCGTCTCTAACCAAGAGAGGATCTGGAATATTATGTCTCTACCAAGAAAGTTAAATATATAATTATGTTGTTATGGGGTTAAAAGGTTCATTTGCATGCATAGAGTAAGGATGTGGCAATCAGGTATCAATTGTTTTGATGGTTCATAACCTGTATGATCATCTAAGCAAAATTATTAATTAGTTACTATATTTTAATATTTTTATTAGTACTGCATATACAGCTAACCCTCTAGTACTTTTGCACTAAATTCATAAACAATATTAGTGCTATATGTTAATTAGTATATATCCCATGTTTTGGCCATTAACTTGCTGCCATCTTCAGAGAAGTCCATAAAAGAACTATCTGTGGTGTTATGGTCCGGGATTAGTAATGCTGGTGTGCTACCCTCTCAACTGTTGATCTCTCCTGTTAGAGCTTGAATCAACTGTTTGGATAGTTGTATCCATGTTTTGCTAACTTCTATGTCAGTTGGATGAATGTTTTCTGTTTTTTTCTTGTGTACGGTTCATATTATTTTATTGTATGTTATTCTCTGACACTATGGGTTATTATGTGTATATTATTCTCCTGAATTCTGACACTTGCTGATGTTTTGTTACTCTAGTGTAGGATATAAACTAATCAGTAATTAGTGTCTAATGGTAACAATAATGAAAATTAATAAATTATTAATAACTAAACTTAGGTAATCATGTTGGCTACTAACCTTAATGAGAATTCTTTGTGATTCTGATGGAAACTATAAAATTCTGGCTGAAAGGTTTGTTGACAAGCAAATTATTTATGGGTGTAATGTTTTTACTCACACAGTGATCCTATATTGATATAGGATGTTCAAATATTTTGAGCATTTATTTTATTCTTTAATACCACTTAGCCATTGTTTTTGAAGATTTTTTTTTATACAAAAAATCTTTTGATACACATATACTTGTTTATAAGGTGTGATAAAAATGTGCATATCTGATAACCTGCCCTCTGGCCATTCCCGAGACTCGTGACTGTAATTACATAGCAGAAAGTTCTTCCACGTTTAGCTAGGCATCTGGAGAGCCAATTCAATGTTATAGTGAACTTTTCGTACAGGAAGGCTGATGTGCAGACAGCACTGTGTGAAGAGGAAACACCATCAAGACAAAGTATCCACTCACTTTTGAGTCAGTGTACTGTACTAATGTAAAGAGGAAGAGGCAGCATTAACTTAGATGTGGAAGTTGCACTTGTGGAGTTATTGTCCAAATCCACACATTGATGATAGCTGTAGGCTTAGGAACTTATCATGAATAATCCTCTGTTCTGGGCATTGAATAATGTCTTAAGTTTAGTTGTTGTTTGTTTGTTTGAAGGCTGTGTCTATTAAAGGTACGTTAAGTACTTGGTGTCTGAAGTTCAGTTTTTTATTTTTTGTAGGCTGTGTCTATTAAAGATACTTTAACTAGTTGGTGTCTGAAGTTCAGTTTTTTATTTTTGTAGGCTGTGCCCATTAAAGATACTTTAAGTACTTGGTGTCTGAAGTTCAGTTTTTTTTGTAGGCTGTGTCTATTAAAGATACTTTAAGTACTTGGTGTCTGAAGTTCAGTTTTTTATTTTTAGGCTGTGTCTATTAAAGATACTTTAAGTACTTGGTGTCTGAAGTTCAGTTTTTTTTTGTAGGCTGTGTCT